GATATATTGAATAAATGAATTTGAAAATGTGACATTTTTGGAAAAATTTTGAAAAATTGTTATTTTTAAAAAGTGGCACTTCAAAAATAGCATTTCTAAAAAATTATCATCTTCTTAACATGTACTAAATTATTTTCAAAAATTTCACATATTAATTTGTTTTTAAACTTGAAATGTGATAGTGTATAATTTTTAAAAAATTGAAGTGAAATGCATATATAAATTCATAACAATAGACGGTTTAATTAAAACATGACAATTCAACACAGTGGGAATCTTCCAATCATCTCTACAACAAAAAGTGACCTAATTTAACTTAATAGGCACTAACTTCAAATGAATCTTTTAAATGTTCCAATAGGACAACACATAACATGTCTAAATGGTAACAATTGAGTTGAGTGAAACATATTGGCAGATTTGACGAAATTTAATGATAAGTTGATCCAATAAAACAGCTAAAGATTTAAGCCAGTTTAACCTATGCTGATCAAGAATTTTTGAATTTGTTACGTTATCCAAAATTCTCGTTTCGATATCCGAAATATATACACATAAATTATAAACAACACACCAACTCATTTTTTGTTTTCCTTCAAATTTGGCTTGCAATTTAAACTTGCCAAACCGAAATGCATAAAAAAACCATATATCATATTATTTACCTACTTTACTCGTAATACTCATAGCATCTCTTCTCTAACCAATGACTTTTTCAACGAAATGAAATACCTTTATTAAATCATTGTATAATAATATATAAATATGGCAGATAATGGAGTAATGGGAATAGTAGTGATCAAAGAAAGTGACATAAGTTTGGAGAGTGTTGTGTCAAAGCATATATAATAGAAGAAAATTTGTCAATATATGTTTTGGTTCTCTTTGGTCCCTTTGTGCATTTGCCTTTTTCCAATAGAAAGTCCCTTTGGATATGAATTTTGAGAGTTCCCTTCATATGTGTCTTGTGGTCTCTTTACATCTTTCATACACTTATCCCAAACTCTATTCACCGTTCATTTCGTTTTTTATTCTTCTTTTAATGTTAGAAAATTTCTAATTTGTTTTTGCCGACATGTTTCTATTTTAAATATAACTAGATTTTGACCCATGCAAGTGTGAGATTAAATATTAAAATATATTTTATAATCTTAATATTTAGATGTGTATTTTAATATTTATAACGCACAAAATGATATGTATTGTACATAAATGTAATAAAATTAAATTTTTACTAAACATATTTCAATATCATATGCTTTGATCAAATTTACATAAAATATTAAAATTAATACAAATGTTATTTATTTCAATTTATTTGAAGTGTCAAATTGAGTTTTATTATTTGTGTAAATAGTAGAGTATGCGATAAATCAATTAAATTTTACATTTATATAAATTTGCCAGACGTAACAAACAAAAAATATATTTTTTCTAATAATAAAATGTAAAAATATTTGTAAGTGTAGTTATCATCTACAAATGAATATTATTGTTACAAATATAATAATAAAAAACATTTTAAGATATCGATTTTTTTTTAAATAGATGATATAGTAACTCTAAATATTACATTTAGTTAAACTTAACTCTTTAAAATATATATTAATGGGTTTATGTTATAAAATTAATAAAAACATATAGAGATTTCCACCATAGCATATAGATTTAATTAAAATATTTTCATTAGTTAATTTAAATGCACATTTGCAAAAATACCACTATTGGTGCCCATTTGCAAAAATGTCACTAATTATGATTTTT